CTCTTCTAAGCCTCTAGATTGCATTGTTTTTGTAATTTCTCTTCTCTAGGAATTTGGTGGTCTTCCCCTTTTCCTTCTTTCTGACAGAACACACATTAAGGCTTTCTTTGCTGATTTGAAATAAATAATCAATTTTTAATAGTTACTGGAAACTATGGAGCTTTGATAGCATTAAAATTCTAAGTAATTAACATTATTAAGTAATAGTTGTTGATGTGTTTCAATCATTACCGGTTAAATTTTGCATCAATCACTTTCTCTATTTTTCGGGCTTTACTAAACCTATTTAAGTATTTGGTTCAATTGTGATAATTACCGCTGCATTAAAATTAACACAAGATTGAAAATTTTAAAATATCAAAGGTAACAAATTATTAAACTATATATTTGTTTGAGCACAGTTTTTTAAAGATACGTACGTGATATGTTTAGATACCTTATATACTTTATATTAAATTTTACAATTGTTTTTAATTTTTATCATCTGAAAAATCAATTTAACATAAGCATACGATAATAAAATTCTTGTTAAATTTTTTATCATTTCTTATCATATTGGATATCTTCCTGATATAAGTTATTTTTAAAATGTCTTGTAATTATAATAAATTAAACTTACTTTGACCTAACAGGTGTCGGGGAAATCTTTTATCTGAATTTAAAAATTTGTGCAAATTTCTTTCAGTCCTTTTTATTTCATATATAATTCAACCTAGAACTAATACTATTACCAGAATTAATAGTAAACTCAACAGTCTTCCGGGTTAAACCGTGTCCATCATCATTGCGCCGACCTCTTGACATTCTCTTCGATTTCTTCTTCAGGGCTTTCCAAGTTTAATTACTGCATTGCAGTAATGCATTAGTTAGTGATCAGTATAGTACGTAGTATCTGGGACTGAAGAAGACATCAAAGAGGATGTCGAAAGCTTGGAAAAATGCACATTCTGATATTCGAACGACAATGGTCGAGACAATGTGGTCAGCGTACCTTATGAGGTTCTGAGTCTATGTTATATGTTTCCTCAAGTGTTTCTTGATGTTTAGTTGTTCTATTATTGACTCATTTGTCCAGGAATTGTCATTATACATATCCAGAAGAACATTTAGAACACACCTAAGCTCTTTTTGTTGATTTCCTTGGAGCTACAATATTCCGATGCATATAGGAAAACTGTAAGGACTAGATATCTAATCAGTCTTATTTAAGCCCATATACTGATTTGACAGCTTAGTAATTGCATTTTTTACTATTGATGTCCTTCGACTTATTTCTTCAGTGCATCCTCCGATGTTAGTTATCAGGAACCTCAGGTACACTAGGTTACATAAAACCTAGATGCTATTTATTTCAATTAACTGGTTTTGGTTGTTGTTGCCTCTATCTGTTACCATCATTCTTGTGTTTTCTCTGTTTATTTGAAGATCGATGTGTTATATTCTCTACAGTACTTGACATATATAATTCTATTACCGAGTTGGCGAGAATGATTCATAACGAGAACCATCATCTGCATACCGTAACTTAAAAATTTTTCTTTCGCCTCTATTGATACTGCCATTCCACTTTTCAATGGCCTTCCGCATAATTCAATCCCCATATTTATGTTAACAAGGATTTGAGTCAGTATGCATCCTTGCCTTACCCTCTTAGTGACGCGAAAGCTTTGAGTTAGTTAGAAAACTTAACAAAGGTGTAGTATTGCAGCATTCTTACTTTTATACCAAGAAAGAGATTGTAGATTTTGAAGAAGGCCCTCATTCGATTAAAGGTGGATCTAGCTTTTCCGATGCGCACTCTTATCTCCTCCTTGTTCTTAAAATCTCCCATAATTGCCTATATGCCTTTTGAATTAGTTATGATATTTTATTCTTTAAGTTATACTCAATAAACGAAATTTGTACGGGAGTGAATCTGCAAAATCATTACATTTGTAAGATATAGGTAAGAGAGAGACAGAAGATATATTTTATCTCTGTTTGTCTCTCGATAATAAAACTGTTTCTTTTGTAAATATATTTAATATTTATTAATATTATTATTATTTTTCCATTCTGTTCAGATTTGTCTTGAGCCTCGTTAGGCATGTTAAATTATAAATTAAAACTTGTAAATATCTCAAGAAAGTTCAAATGTGTACTTATATTCGCTCCGTGCGTGACTGACGCGACACCTACCGCCTTCATCTGACAATTTTGGAGTACCAATTTTCAGGTTAAACATATGGCATATGTTTGACAGTGTTAAATACATGCGAAATTGACAATTATTAATAAATTAGTTTTTTAACTATATTTGTTTAGTTTATGTACAAAATAAATGTAGTATTAAAAACTGGGTTTCTCAAAATTCATCATAATATATCTTTTTAACTCCAAACGGAAAAGAAAGGGAAAAATCTAGTACTGGCAAATCAAGTTTTTCACGCAAAAGAGCATATAATTAAGAACAATAATAGTAAAAATTCTGATATAAAAGCTAAAGTCATCTGCAGTTAGCTTGAAGCCTTATGAAATATCATTCAAGGTAAATTATTTAAATTTTTCCTATTTCAATTGCCTAAAAATGAAATTATGTGATATTTACTTTTTCATAGTAATAGCACGAATTCATCTTTTTCTTTTCTCTAATTTATAAGTAATCTTTGGGAACCTATAAAAACTACACTCACTGTTTTTGCTATTATTAGCACAATTAAATACGCAACATGTATTTGCATACAATTTTTATAAAATTTATGCGTAAAAATATTTTGTCCAATATTCCAATTTTGTCATATTTCGCCGCTACGCACGCTGGCATCGTTTCAATGTATCCCTACCATGGTCACGCACGGAGCGAATACACAACAAAAACGATTAAGTTTTGTATTTGTCAATGTCAGACAAATTGACAGTTGTATCGCAAAACAATATTTTCATTTTATTGATATTATTATCGTGGTAATGTAAACATATGCGTAAGTAAGTTATGTATATTGTCATTTTTAAATACTTATGAATATTGCATTTTAATTTGTATTGTATTATTATATTGAATTATGTTGCAGTATATTGTATTGTATTTTTATATTAATAACAAAATAAACACAACGATTTTTTTTAATGAATGTGTCAATTTTTTTTGCATTCAACTCCTTTCATACATATATGAAAATAAAAATATATATTTTCATCAAAATATTGATTCAATCCTTCATTTACTATACTCCTATTACAGGTCAAATATTGTTTATATACAGCAAACGATGCACCATATACTTATATACCTAATTCTGTTTCTCTTTCTGCTCTCTCTTAGCTATAACATTACATATGTAATCATTGTGCAATTGACTCAAATATAAATTGGTAATGGCGAACGCGTGTGTAGAAGTATAACTTCTACCGGCAGTCCCACTGGATTGCCACACCCGTTTTTTTGTTTATTTTACTAATGATCTTAATACGATATCGTTATGCTTAATTTTATTCAGAATACACTTAAAGTGGCAAACTTATGTGTTTAATATAATATATAACATAATTTGGCAACAGAAAAACATGTAACACATAAATTACCATGATTTTTGCCTTGGTGACCTATTTACCTTACCTTTCAAATATAATGATTTTAAATAATTACTCCATAGGTTTTATTTACATTAGTCGATGAGTTATGAATCTGCTATTTTGTAGTTAAGTATCTTCGGTATTCAAAAATTAGTCCTTTCAATTTGTTTGCTCTAGGTTCAAGACCTATTTAGCCAGACAATTGAATAAGTAAAAACAATTCACTTTTATACTTCCTTTAAATTTATATTTGACAAATTTATATTTCGTTCATTTACCCAATTTCTGAACATTCCCATTGAAAACACTATTCGTGACTGTAAAAAAACGATTGAACAAGGACACATGCTTCACGCTAAGGTACCCTTCATAAAGCCTTTTTAACAAATACTAGAGGGAACGCAACGGTTAAAGGTAAATAACATTAAAAGAGAGACAGTGGGAAATACTACAAATAAAGTCATACCATTTCGCGATCACACACCACTGTTTGGAAAAGACAGTTCAAGTTTTCCGTTTCGTACGTTTGAAAAATTCCCATAAAATCAACGTAATAATTGGATTTCGACTACTTAAGTAAAAAAGAGAAAAAAGTATTATTTTTTTGTTGAGAGGTCGCTTAAAATAAAAATTTTATGATTTCTTGATTATACCGACAGTAAAACATCCAGTGGTTAAGGTCACCAAAACTTCCATTACATTCACATGTATCTGTTTCCGAAAGTTTTGTTTTATACGGGAAACTAACGTACGTATTATACATTTTCCGAGAGATGTCGCTTGTCTCATTTGGAAGAGGGGATGGAAGAGTTGGATGTATTATACTGCAGTATGTATTTTTGCTATTGTTACTAAAGGATTGCCACTCAAATAAATACTCTACTCTACTTAATTTTCCAATTGAGTCTAACATCCTTTTTCTATCTGAGAGTAATTCCAATGTGGACAACTCTTTGTATTTTATACCGATTAAAGTAGCGTCTTTAGCCAAATGGTCAAATTTTTCATGACCTGGAAGTGTATTAATGAGAGTAGGACGGACTGTGAGTCGGATTAAATTATATACCTTTCGAAATATAATGTGCTATTAATTATACCTACAATCCAACACTACCAATTCAGCTGTGAATATTAAGCAATCTGATTTTAATTTGTACTGAAAATAATCCTGAATAGTGTCTATGTAAATGTCACAGCCAAGACCAGGCGATTTTGATCCATCGTTATAAATTTTACAAGAGTGGATATTGGGAAAAGCCATAACTAGAGTTGGAGTATTGATTGATTGTGTTGCTTTTGAATCTTTTTAAAAATCCATGTTTTTTTAAATATACGTGTTTGTTTACTTCAAAATAATATTTTTTTTATCTGTAGTCATTATTCCAATTTATCTGATAAATTAATAAATTGTGTCACTGTATAAATTACCCGTAGATTTTTATTATGTAGTCTTAATACCAGTAAGTGCTCGAAATGAAGGTGATAGTGTTACTCTCGTTACTATCTGCATTTCTTGTTTGCCAAACATCAGGTAAGCATAATATTTATTAATCAAAGTATAGTAATAAAGTTAGTAATAATAAGTGTAATGTTTCTTTTCATGTACCTAAGCAATGGTAATAGTCGTAAAAAAAGATAAACTTAATACTAACGTATTTTCCACTGAATCACTTCGTATTCGATCATTCAGCTACTTCAAATGATTTTATCCCTTTCAATATTCGATTAATATTTCACTAGATACCAAGTCCGGACTGTTTGTTGTTGACTTGGTCTCTTTTGATGAGATTTATCCAATTCGTATAGCGATGTTTAGGTCAGGATGAATTTCCATAACAGGACAGTATAACTGCATATTGGACTTATTCCATATCTGCTTATACAGAATGAAGTTATTGATATGTATTAATTACTCAGAATTACGACTAAGTAATAAATATATTTTTCTGAACTTTTTCATGTATCTTCTCCATATGATCTTTCCACTGAAACTTCGTATTAAGAGTTATACCCAAGATACTTTGCTGTGTTTGTATATTTTAATTGTATGATCGACTGCTTCTTATTTAAACTTGCCGTTGAACAGAACAATGTTATAAGGACTGCGACTGGACATTGGCTGCGATTCTGTGACATATGGGCGGCTTCATGTAGAGATTATCCCTTCAGAATCTTCATTTAGTCTACCCATCGTCTTGGAGATCTTCCTCTTGGTCTTCGGCCTTTTACCTTTCTTTTTACTACTAATACGGTCCCCGTTCTTCTAGCTATGTGGCCGAAGTGAATTAGGTATGCTTGGTTTACTTTTTTTAATAACCTGTCTTTTATATGAAGCTCTTACAGAATTAATAGGTTAGTTCTATGTTCTGTTCAGGACACGCGTAGAATTTTTCTATAGGCCCACATTTTGAAGGCTTCGATTTTACTCCTATCGATGTTTGAATAGTCCATGTTTTAGCTGCGTATGTAGCAACGGGAAAAATAAGTGCGTTGACCAACCTGAGCTTAGTAGTCTTAGTAGTTGGTGGTTATCAGGGAATCCAAGTATACAAATGTGTCTACCACTTAGAAATATTCGCCACTTGATGTTTGTGCGGTAGATTACTATTTGCTCTGTCTATGATCATTATTTTTGTTTTTGTGGTGTTGATCTGATCTTCGAATACTTCTCTTATTTGGCTTAGCCGTGCAGTGGTGATAATCACTTCGACTTCATTCGCTGCTAATAGTAGTGTGTTAAGTGCGTATCGCAGGTTGCTGACTTTTTTGCCTCCTATAGTGATTTCTTCATCCCATTAGTCTAGTACTTTTCTCATTATATATTTAGAATATATATGTTGTATAATAATGGTTATACTATGCAGTCCGTCTAGATCCTTTCTTTGTTTTTAACACATAATAATATATTCTATGTATTTTAACTTTGGCTAAGTTTTTATCATACATATTTCTTATTAAGTTAACTAGGTAGTTGGGTACTCCCATATTTTCCATTATACTTCAGAGGGGATTCCATTTTACTGAATCGAAAGCCTTTGTATAATCTGTGAAACAGAGCAGCATTAGTATGTTGTGTTCTCTCGTTTTTTCTATTATCTCTCTGATGTTCAGTATTTGCTTTCGCGTTCTTTTTCCTGATACGAAACCTCATTTTTTTCAGCTATGTCTGGAAGCAGAAAGTTTTGAGTCGTTCATTAGGTTCCGAGTGCTAATCGTCAAATTTACAGGAAAGTTATCGGTTAATTTGACATACCTTCGTTATTAATGTTTTTTATCCATATACTTAGTCAATGATTATACGAATATTCCTGCAACAATTGTGTTATGATGTTCCTCCTTTTATCAATGATTGGCTTGAGGTGTTTCAAAATCAATTTTTCAAATAATTTGGACATAATTGGTAATACGAAAATGAGAAGATATTAGTATATAAAAGTTGCTCACATTCTTATTAGGTTTTGCAATCATTATGGGTTTGACAGTTTTCTCCATTTAGCCGAATATAAGCATTGCTCAAAATTGTTACTTTAACCAAATCTTTTTTTGTAGTATGTTCAAAATCTCTTCCGTTAAGTTGATTTAGAATATTTTTTCGGATTCAGATTGTTTTTAACATCCCTCAGCGACTTTGGGAAAAGACTATTTGTTTTTTTTTTTAATTGTTGTTGGGCTTTTGGAAGTTGAAAGCCCAACTTTCTATCATCTTTCCTAATAATAAGCACTTTAGTTGTTGCACTTTTAATATATTGGAATCTCTCCAAGAGAATATTCAGTAACTATATTATGTTTGCTAAGTTTTATGAAGAATTTGCTGGCTGATATTTGCTTGACATTTTTTATTTCATTGGTTAATTGTCTGGTGCGTCATTCGATTAGAGTTCATTATTGAAAGCTTATTGATTTTTATATATATTTATATATATTTATATATATATATATATATATTATATATATATATATATATATATATATATATATATATATATATATATGCAAATATTAGTAGCTTTTAGCAAAAGCTAGTAAAAGCTATAACTTTTCACATCTAAATCAGAATCAATAAAACGATATAACAGTTATTTCAGTATCTCTACTTCGTCAGTAGTTCGAGCTGGCTCTTATTTCATCAGAGTAATAGCTTATATTTACACATTATGACAGGCCAGAGGACAACAATTTAATTTATTCTTTTCTTTGCTACCAAAGCAGGTGGCACCTCTGTGCTCGAACCACTGAAAGTGGAAAGATTTTTGAGACATTAGTTGGAATTTTCGGTTTGAATCGGAAACAACTAGAACGGCTAACGAAGTAGAAATACTGAAATAACGGTTATATCGTTTTATTAATTTTGATTCAGAGGTGAAAAGTTTGAATAATTTGTGCTCCAATGTCATTAATATAATCTGGCTTTTATTCCGTATGTACATGGTGGTCCTTAAGTAATTGTACAAAAAGAAACCATAGATTCTACATTTTAAAATATTACGATTTAAGTCAAGTTGCTTTTATATAATATTGATATTAAGAAAGATACAGGGTGTTAAAGTAGAAATTTAAAATTTTATTTTTCGCTATAACTTTCATGTTTGTCAACATTTATGTATAAAAATTTACAACTGGGTACTATTAAATATCAGAAATTATAATTTGATGTAGCTGATAGAGATATGCTACATATGTGGCACACATTTGCACTTAAATTTTTTGCTCTTTAAGTTACCGGTATTTTTAATAAAAAATATTAAAGACACATTATTTTAACAAAAAAATGGTATACTTGATAATATTTTCAAAACTCAACAGTTTTCGAGATAATCGCATTTTAGAAATCAACTGCATAATTCTAATTTATCGCAATTACTCCAGGCAACGAAAGAAAATTAAAGTAAAACATCAATACTTCTGAATTTTGGTATACAATACTTTTAATAAAGTTAAAAGTCAACGAATTATTAAATAAAATGCATATATCAGAAGAAAAAATTAATAGGATTTGATAAATATCAGAATAGTTGGATTTTACATAAAATATTTTACGTTTTGTATTAAATTAAAGTCATAATCAAAACATTTTATTTACAAACCAAATAAAGAAATAGTTAAACTAAATAACATTAAACTTTTTGTCAAAGTAAGTGTTCAATATGCTAACCATTTTCTTTAATTCATCTGTCAATACATTCCATAAAATATCGTCTCATATTAAATAGCATCATTGGTTCTAAAGAAACTGCTGCAGTATTAATTATAAGTGTTATAAGTAAAATAATAAGTAATTTTTTGCAATTTTTGTGAATTAAATAATTATATCAATATCTCACTACAAGAATATAACTACAACGAACAATCCAACGTTCAGGAAAGTTGTATTTAAATACTCACTCCGCCTTCTCTTAATATAATGGTGTAACATCTTGTAGAAACCACATATTTCGCCTTAAGTTTGATGACAATTCTTCCAATAAATCAATAAAATCAGTTTATAAAAAATGTAAATAAATCTCGACATTCAAATTTCAAAACAATTCGTATATCCGTAAAAAATAATTACCAATGGTTTCAAACCATAGGACATGCATTTTAAATATGAATTTTGAATGATATTTTACGGATATACAAATTACCTTGCAATTTGAATGGTGAGATTTATTTACATTTTTTATAAAATGATTTTATTGATTTATTGGAAGAATTGTCATCAAACTTAAGGCTAAATATTTGGTTTATACAAGATGGTACACCAATACATTACAGAGAAAGGGGAGGGAGAACAGCATTTAAAAACAACTTTCCTGAACGTTGGATTGTTCGTGGTAGTCATATTTTTTGGTCATGTGGTAAGATATTAACATAATTATTTAATGCATAAAACTCCCAAAAGAACACCTATTATTATACTTCTTATAATACTTATAATAACTACTGCAGCAGTTTCTTTAGAACCAATGATGCTATTTAATATGAGACGATTTTTTATGGAATGTATTGACAAATGAATTAAAGAAAATGGTGGATATATCGAACATTTCCTTTGACAAAAAGTTTAATGTTATTTAGTGCAAACATTTATTAATTTGGTTTGTAAATAAAATGTTTTGATTATGACTTTAATTTAATATAAAACGTAAAATGTTTGATGTAAAATCCAATTATTCTGTTCTTTTATCAAATTCTATTATTAATTATTTATATATCATATATATATATATATATTTATTTAATATTTCGTTAATTATTAACTTTATTAAAGGCATTTTATAAAAAAATTCAGAAGTATTGATGTTTTTATCTATTTTTCTTTCATTGCTTGGAGTAATTGCGTTAAATCAGAATTATGCAGTTGATTTGTAAAATGCGATTATCTCGAAAACTATTGAGTTTTGAAGTTATTAACAGGTATACCTTTTTTTGTTAAAATAATGTATTTTTAATATTTTTTATCAAAAATACCGGTAACTTAAAGAACAAAAAAGTAAAGTGCAAATGTATGCCACGTATGTGGCATATGTGGCGCCCTCTATTAGCTATATCAAAGTATGCATCAAATTATAATTCCTGATAATAAATAGTACCCAGTTGTAAATTTTTATACATAAATGTTTACAAATATGAATGTTATAGCGAAAAATAAAATTTTAAATTTCCACTTTAACACCCTGTATCTTTTTTAATATTAAAATTTTAATAATATATATATATATATATATATATATATTATATTTAAAACGTCTCTCGATATGGAATTTGATTTATTCCGAACTTGGTAAATGGTAAAAGCAGTACATATATTTTCACATAATTATTTATTTACATAATTATTTAGTGATCTTTTTATAGGTGCGAAAAAAAATGTCGTTTGTTATTTCGCCAGTTGGACTGTTTATAGAGCTGGAAACGGTGCTTTCGATGTCAGTAATATAGATCCATCTCTGTGTACACACATTAATTTTGCTTTCCTTGGTCTGAACTTAGATGGATCTATTCACATTTTGGATTCTTGGGAGTCAAGTGATCCTGGTGGTCATGGTAAGTAAATAATATCTGCTTAATGCATCCATTGATTGATACAGTTGCTGTAATTAACATACCTATAGAATTTCTGCTATTTATAATACTGAGAAAAATATCGATATTAAAAAATATATTTAAGAGTATTACGGCAGTAAACTGGATATTAATTTAAAATGATTATTAAGCCAAAATAATTCAGCAAAAGCTCATCAAAATGTAGAACTTACTCATCAGTGACGAAAACCCTATTCTTTTTTAAAATACCCTGAGGTCGAAACAATAATTTTAATATTTACAAAAGAAAACCAAAATGCAGCAATAATGTTAATATCTTTGAGTAGAGTATAACAGCATGATTTTTTTATCACAGGTAATTAATGAACTTATTGTGGTCACTGGGAGGATATTTAGTCACTACTACATATTTCACTTAATGCAAAAAATGTAAAATATTTGTTTTTATTTTAAAGTGTAAATTTAAAGGATAAAAAGAATTGTCAATTAAAGACGTCAAGTTAGAGGCATTGATAAATTCTTTGTCGCAAAATCATTAAAACCAACGAGCAGATCAAAAGTAAAAAAGAAGTGTGGAAATATTCAAGAAGAAAATGCGTAATTTAGACTCGTTAGTTTTGAAAGGCCTTCGCAGTAGTATAAAACGTGCAACACAGTCTTCATATCTTCTAAACAGAGCTATCAAAAAGCTTCTTATGACAACCTCATATAATATAAACTTTTTGAGCCTACAGTATCCAGCCGGCGGTCTCACTATTATCATAATAACCTTTTAGTTGTGATTTAGTATGTCTGCTGTAAATTTAGCTAAACACTTTTTCTTCCCTATGTTCTAGTAGATTTTTCCACCTGTCAAAAGGATATTGCGGACGGATCAACCACGAATGCAAACGTTCGCTACAATGTAAATGGTCCTCCTTTGTAGAGAACAAATGGACAGGCGAATATCTACGAATTCGTTTTTTCTTTCATTTGTTTGTTTTTGTTTTGTTTTAAATGCACCTTTAGATACAGTTTGAGTTTAACCTTCCATTTTTTTTAAACAGTAGCCTCGCTTTCCCAGCAAGATTACAGACATTTGCTTAAGCTTTTGAATGTATGAATTCCACGTCAGCTTCTAGTCAAATATTATGAGTAAGTATTTAGCCTGACATACAAATGGAATCTCCACTCCCCTGAATACTGTTGAAAATAGTAATTGTAGTGCTCTTCTTTTAGTAAAAGCTACTTTTATTATTTATGAATTGCATGAATAATTACGGACTTTATTTTTGCACGCCATTTTTGTGAGTAATATTGCCATCGCTAATAATTCCTAATACTGCTAGTGGCAGTATTAGGTATTAATTATCAATCTCTTTTGCAAAATGCAAAGAAATCGAGCTGAGTGCTCAGAAAAAGATCTACGCTAGGCGTTGCAAGTCATATCGAACGAAAGGTACTGGCAAGCGTTACAACATTCCCCGCTCAACGCTAGGTCTTCATCATAGAACACAATATCTCGTAAGAAAGCTTGGAAGATCACCGGTGTTATCTGCAGCACAAGAAATGATCTCGACGAAAAAATTCACAGATTAGCTAAGGTGTGAATGCCTTATTTGACAAACCTGGTATAATATCTACGAAAAACCTGGTATAATATGCAGATTGACAATCCATAAGCAATAAATTGTTTTTGCGTAAAGGGGAGCAAAACCAACATATTTAATCGCATCCGAGCACGGAGAAAACGTGTCAATTGTAAGTTGCGGAAATGCGCTTGGTCAACTTATGCCTACTTTTGTGCTTTTTAAAGGCCCAAAGTTTAAACCTGAATGGTCCGACTCAAAGGCTATTATCACAAATGAAAATAGTATGACATGCGAAGCATTTGTTTCGTGGCTTGACCATTTCTCTTTATTTATAAACCCTGGTTTTACCCTACTAACATTTCATGAAGCCAAAAGTCAAGTGACAAGACAACAGACAAGAACTACAGTGTTTAACAACAAACCCTGGCAAGGCTATTACTTAATGAGGTTAGGAAAAATTTTTACTCCAGTTTGGCTAAAAGCAATGACACCATCAAACATTATCTTCGATTTTGCAGCCACCGGCATTTATCCGTGTAGATCAGACGCTACTTGAGGCTGCCTTTGTACTAAGTTTAATCACTCATTCAGAGAAGAAGACAAAGTAAACCACAGTTGCTTTTAAGATCAGATGTCGTTAGAACTTCTAGCAAGTCTAGCAAGTCGATTAAACCAGCAGACAAAAACAAAAAGAGTATAAGCGAATATCAAGAGCCAGAGAAAGTGTTTAATTATTGTTTCAAGTAGCTAATCATTATAAGATTTTAGTCTTTACGATTATTCACTTGACAATGTCTCTAGTGAAGATGAACCTATGAAAAGATCTAGAAGGAACAGCAGTTCTGAAGATGACAGTCCATTAATTGAATTAAAATATAAACCGAAAATCAAAACTGATACAAAAGAAACAACAATATGTACTCCGGGGCGTAACCAAGTAATAACTTCCCACTTCAAATGCTTAAAAAGTTCTTTTAAAAGTACATGATTGTTTATTACACCGAAAATTAAATTACCCACGCAAAGAGGAAGGCAGCTTTAAACTGTAAAGCCCAGCAAGTTACCAACGATTTGTTCGCACCAATACCAAAATTGAATAATCCAATTAAAGTTGTTAAAAAAGCAACGAGCAGTATGAGAAAGAAATCAAGGAAAGAAGAATCATGGTATAGTTTTCTTTTTTAAAATTGATTGCAGTAAAGTAGATATGTGCTTGTGCATAGTATGCTATCGATAGGTTTACGAGGCCTGTGTAGGACTGACTAAAGATAACAAAGAAAAGTTGACTTGCCCTCAATGTTCTAAGTTATATTTTTCAGAAATATTTGTTACGTTTATTCTACTTAATTGCCTTTATTTTTTTAGAAAAATGTGTTACTTTTAACTGTAGTTCTATAGTGATTAATATTGACGTTATGAAGGTGGCTATAATAGGAGAGCTGTAATCCTAATGTTGTCTTTCGCTACGTCAATAAAAAAGTATAATTTATTTAGGTTCTGTTTAGTTTTACACTACCCTTTATTATTAACCAAATTTGTTTTCATTTATCAATAAAAGTATAGGAATGAAATCTGAACTACCAACTGACATTTCAGTCATATTTTATTCTTGAAACGATACTTTTAATTATTAATACTAATAATATTAATAATTAATAATTAAGGGAGATAAATCGGACCCGGAAATTACAGAGGAATTAATTTATTAAATACAACACTAACATTAACAACCAAAGTGATAACAAATAAACTGAATGAAATTATAATATCAGCAGAAGAACAGCAAGTTTTTAGGTCGGGAAGTTCATGCACTGACGCTATATTTATAATGAGGCAAGTGCAAGAGAAATCATTAGGATACAACTAACATATCTATGTATGTTTCGTAGCATTCTACGTTTCGTGGACCTTAAGAAGGCTTTAGACCGGGTCAAATTAAAGGAAGTTATCCACTTATTGTACGCAAGAAAGATACCTCTAAAAATAATAAAAACAAGCGAAAATATCTACCAAAACAATACAATAAACGTAAAAGTAGCAGAAGAACAAACTGACCTTATCAGAGCTCGCAATGGATAAGACAGGTAAGTTCCCTGAGTCCTCTATTGTTCAACCGGATTGTGGGCCAAATAATAAAAATATGAAGAACTAGAAAAGATACCAAATGCAAGAAAAACTACTTAAAATAATCTGCCATGCTGACAACACAGTACTATTCTCTTAAGGTGAAGATGATTTACAACGTATGCTGCACCAATTTAATATAACCACCAACAAATTTAACATGTTAATTTCCCCAAAAAAAGACAAACTGCATGGTTATAACTAAATTTACTAAGATGTAAATTTTAGTTTGAAGATCAGATAATAGAACAAGTGATGAAGTTTAAATATCTAGGCATCACATTATCTAACTACGGAAAGCTCTAAATAGAAATGGAAGATCAAGTGAACAGAACAAACAGAAATGAAAGGCAGAATTAACTAAATAGTCTTCAGACCAATAATGACATATAGAAACACGACCTGGCACAGAGAGGACAAAAACGATGTTTGAAACAGCAGAGATGAAAATACTTGATGGTAAAACACTATGTGGCAGAGCTAGAAGTACAGATACATGATGTAGATGCAAGGTGGAGAACGTAAAGGACTGGATAAGAAATATAAAAGTAGAATGGAATGATCATATAAGCCGAATAACAACAAGTAGACGATTAGTAGGAAGACCACGAAAACGATGGACAACTTGCGTAGACGATTAAATACTATGTAGCACGATTTTCAAAAATGTTGGTAAAATAATATTATTTAATTGTATATTTTTATTTTCAGAGGGTTTTAAACGTCTCGTAGGTCTTAAAGAGACCAATCCTGACCTTAAAGTAAGTGTAAGTATGGGCGGTTGGAACGAAGGCTCCGAACACTATTCAGCAGTAGCATCTGATCCAGCCAAAAGGGTAAAACTTGCAGATGAGGTTTTAGCTTTTATCGAAAATTGGGGCTTCGATGGTTTTGATTTGGATTGGGAATATCCAGGATTGCGAGGAGGAAATAAAACTATTGACAAAGTAAGTACAACATAATTACATTAAATATTAAATTTATTTATTTAATTAAATAGGTCTTTGTGGTCTAAGACCAAAAATTTTCATTAAAAAACATAAAATAGGTATAAACTCGAAAAGAGAGGTTAATCACTTTTTTAGGTTGATTATAGTGGATTGTAGGCAATATTTTTCCGACTTTCTATTACTCCGCTATTGTTTTATATTCTTGTTATTGACTTTTTCTTTTACTATTGGCAACCAAAGCCTGCTACATTTTGCCGATGGATTTGCTACACATTTTTCTTAGTTAACTCTCTCATGAATAATTTTAAGGAAAAATTATTTTTTTTTTAGAAAAATTATTTTATTGCGAAATATTGCTGTTAGTGGTATAAAAATGTTTAAAGCACGAATGACACAACGGCTCATTGCACCTTTTACAGATATATTTTGTTTTTCTTTTGCAAGCTTTAGAGTAACATCTTCAAGCACCTGGTATATCCATGAGTTGTAACCAGTGCCCCCAATTACTTGGTTTAATTTCAGGAGGTGCATGATGATTCTGTTTCTTCTTCTTCAAAATGGGAGATGGTGTACCAAACAAAAGTCTACCTCGTTTATTTTCTTTCTGCGTTTCCAACTTTATTAATGCTCTGGTAATACTTGCTTTAAATTCTAGCAGATCTTTTTTGGATTTCCGTTTTTCTTGTACGAAATTCATGCATTTACAACAATAACATCCAGAAAATGCATAAAACACATAAAAAAAGGACCAGCATTTGTTTCTTCTTCTTAAAGGTACAAGGCCAACAACTGGTTCATCAGGTCTATTCCTAACATGTTTTGTTATAAAACTGATCAGAAAATGGTGTGTTCACTTCTATGTAAAATAATATTATTTAATTGTATATTTTTCACTTCTAGTGTAGTAGTCTTAGTAGATATATACCAGTGTTTTGTTTTATTCTGAGCTTCTACTCCAGCACAATTAGAAACAATGTAAATAGTCTTGTTGTCTAGCTATTTGGAAAAAATTATGTTGCCACCTTCAGTACTTGCAATGAATGAAGTTCCCCTACCATATGTTTAAAGTATGTTAATAAGGTCTCAATTAAACTACTGTATTGGCTGAACATATATTAATAATATTCATACATTACAACATGATCATGTCGCCCATTGTCCCCGTTGGGAAGTGGTGTTGACTTGACATTGACATATTTGACATAGTTACCAGGTTTACGTTAAGCCTATCTTACATTAATGTCAAACACCTTCCCCTTAAAGATTAAGGCGTACCCTAGGTTTAATTTTACGTCCGAATTTTGAAACATTACATTTCTTACTATCATTATTTTTTGAGCAGCTATAATGAGGACTTACAATATCAGTATTCCTATGTTCATTAAACAAATTTGTTAAATCATTATCCTGATTACATACATTATTTAAATCATTATTATCATTATCCTTATAACTATTTGGGTTTGTGTGTGGATACAACTCAGGTTCAAGATACATGTCTGCTTCATCTGATTTTGTATGTGATGGTCTTATGTGTCTTGTGTTTCTTCTAACTATCCTATTATCGCATTCCTTTCTTATCCAGTACGATCTGGGTTCTTCAGCTTTTTCTACAATAACAGCTTTATACCATACTTTATCAGCACTACTCTTAACAACTACATTATCCCCCCTTTTATAAGTTGTTGGTGTACGTTTACTATGTTTATCATACTGAACTTTTGTTTTTTGTTGTTGGTCCGATAACAGTTTATAAATCTCATTCTGAATTTTAGGTTGTAATTGTTCACTATTTACTGGTATTTCTGTTCTCAAAGATCTACTATTTAATATTTGTGATGGAGATGCACTTAATGAAATAATAGCAGTATTATTATATTCTACAACTAACTCTAACTAACAATAATACATACACAATAACTACAACTAACGATAATCAGAGTTTTCTGTAAAACTTTTTTTTTAAATTTGTTTACAAATTCCTACAGCCTTTTCAGCAAGGCCATTACTTTGGTGGTAATGAGGTAAACATGTCAGGACTGTAATTTGTTTATTATCGTAATATTTTTTACACTTAAATGATATAAATGGTAAATTATCTGCAATTAAAAATTGAGGATAGCCAAATCTGGAAAAAACATCTTGCATTGCATCTATTATGGCTTCAGATGTTTTATTATTTAATGATAGCATCTCTATCCAATGGGAAAAATAATCTATTAGAATTAAGTAAGATTTACCACCAAATTACAAAATATCAGCCGCAATTTTATTAAACCTCAATTTTGGTATTGAATGTGCTAACATTGGCTCTCTATAATTATTTGGCATGAATTTTTCACAAATTCTACATTTTTTTATAAACTGGACAATATAATTCCTAAGGTTTGGCCAAAAAAATAAAGATCTTGCTTTATTAATAGTTTTACTAGTTCCTATATGACCTTTATGTAACAGAGTAATCATTTCCTATTTTAGAGATTTTGGTACAATTATTTTATTTTCAACAAAAACAATTCCTGCTTCAACATATATATCATTTTTAATACTGTAATATGGCTTTATATACTCTGGAATCTTGTTTTCTTTAGGCCAGCCTTTTTAATAAAAATCAACAATTGTAGCCAAAACTTTATCTTTAGAGGTTTCTTCTCTGAACTGATATATTTTTTTATCTGTCATTGGTAAGTATAGTGAGACTGAATGAACCATATCAAACATCTCTAAATCAAGGGTTTGTGCCTTTAAAGCATATCTTTAGCCTTAGCTCTAGAAAGCATATCTGCAAATTGAATTTGCTTTCTTGGAACATAATAAATATTTAATATGTACTTTAATAATTTTAGCCTTAAACGTGCAACCTTACTGACCCAATTTTGCATATTGGTTTCTGCATAATTGAAATTATTGGTTTATGATCTGTTTGGACATCAACATCACACTGGTAAATAAAGTTATGAAATTTTTGTGTACCATAAAAAATGGCTAATAACTCTTTCTCTGTCTGGCTGTAATTTATTTCATGTTCATTCATATACCTAGATGAACATGCAACTAATTTCAACATACCATCATAGTTTTGAAACATACTACACCCAATTCCATTTTTGGATGCATCACATTGCAAAACCATCTTTTTATTTGGATCAAATGGTACCAGAGCTGGAGAATTTGAGATTATTTTCTTTAACTTATCAAAACATTCCTGGTGTTTAGGCAACCATTGCCATTCTACATTGTTTTTTAAAAGTTCACATAAAATTTGCATGTGCTCAGCCATATTTTTAACATAACGTCTAATATAGTTAAAGGAACCTATTATTCTTTGTAACTCTAATTTACTTTTTGGAGTTTCTAATTTACATAAAGCATCTGTCCTCTCAGGATCTACTTTCATTCCTAAATGAGAAAAAATTTGTCCCATAAACTTTACTTCTTTTTTGCTAAATTGAATTTTCTCTTTATTAAATCTAGCACCTCTTTTGCTCTATTTATCACCTCTTTGACCGCTTGATCATGTTCATCTTGAGACGCCCCTGCTATGATCATATCATCATGACAAACTACAATGTTTTTAATATCACCAAAATGTTTTTCAACTGCCTCTTGAAAAAGGTCTTGAGAATTTGATAACCCAAAAGGTTAAAAGTAAAAACCTGTAAGTTCCATAGTGTGTAGAGAAACAACATTTCCATGAAGAATTTTCATCAATTAAAAGTTGATGATAACTTTCAGATAAATCAAAAACAGAATATACATTTTTGTTTAATAATTTTGAACATATTTCCTCAATGGACTCCCCAACTCTAGGTTTGCGTACTATATGTTTATTCAGATCTGAGAGATCTAAACATATTCTTAATTTACCATTACTCTTTTCGACTATCACCATTCTATTAATACTTGCCCTGGGGTCTATGTTTTCTACCTTAACAATTGCTTTTCATTGGACTAATCTATCTAGCTTAGTTTTAAGTGAATTTCTAATTTTTATTGGACACTTGGTAGGTGGATTTGTTGTAATTTCATATGTGCCAAGAAATTTGCCTAACCCTGTGAAAACTTCAAAATTTTCATTGATAAATTTATCTGTTAAATCAGACCGGCCTATCTTATTTATTTTATAGAATCAATACGTTTTACCAAACTTAAATTTAAACATGTTTGTCCACATATCAGAACCTGACTTGCACCATCCACAATGACAAAATCTTCAAAAATATTCTTACCCTTACATTTTACATTTAAATTTACTACACCTATAGGATGAGACACATTTCCATCAAATGCCTTTAACACATATTCAGTAGGCCTGGTTCTAAATTGACAATTAAATTTTTTATAAACATTTAAAGGAATAACATTTACATCTGCCCCTGTGTCTTTACTGTGTATAAAGTTATTAATATAAACGATAAAGAAGAGACAATAACATTTACCATGGAAAAGGAATATAATAACACGCTACCTTTTCTGGATGTTTTAATCTCTAAGAACGATACTGGATATGAGACTCAGGTGTATAGAAAACCAACACACACCAATAGATATTTAAATTTCAAATCAAATCACAATATTAATGTAAAAAAGGATATAATTGAATCCTTATACGATACAGCCAAAATTACTTGTTCTAATGAAAATTCGTTCTTGGAGGAGAAACATTTGTTAACATCTGTTTTAATAAAAAATGATTATCCTTTATCGTTTATAAATAAGGAATTTTCAACAATCGATCGAATAGAACAGAACAACTGAGAACGAGATCCTACAGCATACACAAGGAATAATATGAGGAAAATAACAATACCGTACATAAAAGGACTATCAGAAAAACTTAAAAGGATAGGAAATAAATTCAACATTTCAACAACATTCAAAACGACAAACACGTTGAGATCTATTTTGTCCAAAACCAAACCTAACAATGAACAAGAAAGGACAAAGAATTGCATTTATAAAATACCTTGTGAATGCGATCAGTTTTATTTAGGTGA